GGCATATCATGAGGAGCATCGTGTGGCTCAGGGTGTTCACCTGGCTAATCATCTATAATATCCTCCACGGGTGCCTCAACGCCCCCTTGCTGGGGACCGCGTCCTTGCCGACCACCACGACCTCGTGGGACACTCCTTCCTCTATGGCCACGCCTGTCACGTCTACCACATCCAGGTTCCACTGGTGGCCCATGATGGTACTCCTCTAGCGGCACATAAGCAGCCTCGTATCCTAAGCGCTCATCATCTCGGGCACGTCTCAATGTCTCGGCAGCAAGATCAGTAACCCGACGGCCAAACACGTGCAAAGCTGTCGCTCCCTCGCCGATATGCTGCAGCATTTGCAGTCCCAATTGGTAGAAGTGATGTAAGACAATAGCTTGCATAACATGTAAAATATTAATTACGAAAGGATAATGTAACCTTATAAGTAAGTATAACAAATAACATACGAGTGTCTCATGCCTCCCGGCGTATGGAATGTACCGACCACCAGCGCGATGAACGGAATTCTCAGCGAGAAGTCCGGTAACGCTGCGATACCAACCCATATACTCATGCTCGCCATTCGTACGCTCATGTGGAGGGTGTGGCGGAATCAGGTCATACCTCTGGTCCCAAATCTCAATTTGGGCCTCTTGCCAGGCCAAGTATGTCTCGCCAACCCTGCAACAATCATCCCGCTGGTAATGTGTCCTAACCCAAGTGGGCGGAATAGGTACAAGCTGCGGTCGACCAAACTGGCGAATGACTCATTCGGTGGCATGTTGTTCGACTATATCGAGACATATCAGTGGGACGGAAGAGCTGCACATAGCTCGGCCGCGATAGTAATAATCGGGCAAACCAACTATGAGTGTGTCGATGTATGGCCTCCATACGAACTATTTATTAAACACAAGAATCGTGAGTAAACGCAACACATATAAATCCAGGCCACTTAAGTATATATGTACTTGCGCGCCTTCAAGCAAATCCAACAAATCCCTGTAATAAGGGGGATGATGTCGAGCCTCGACCTCGCGTCTGTAGCCTCGCGTATCAACCCATCTCCAAGCTAAAGGGAGAAATGTTGGAGGTGGTGCATCCGGAGCGATCGGTGGTAGAGGTGGCTAGAATTGCAGGAACCGCTCCCGGGCCCAAATCTAATATAGATTGTGGACGTAAAATTTAAGGTATTTTTTTTTTCTATGTATGTTATAATCATGAAAATAATTGACTATATTTTTACCTACAGCAGTGGTAAAAATCTGGCAACATCTCTCTGGGTGCCCATGTACGCCCGACACATCTGTCTATACAGGTAACCTAGAACAGCTACACCCCAGCTATAATTAGGTAAATCATTTAGCCGCTCCAGATGATGTAGAAATCTCAAGCTGACTAGGTTTTCCGAAGTGTTCGGGAACATAACACCACCAAATATCAGCAGCAACAACAATCTCGTGTGCCGGTCGATATCCTCCGGTGGTGAATCATCTGTAATCTCCGCATCCATTGCCACCAGATGTTGCCGGACGAGCGTCAGCTGCAATTGACTAGCCCCACTCAATGCAGTCGGCTCCGCTGGCTGAAAACCGGTGAGCTGCTACAACATATGCAGGTAATGCACTCCCCTATAGACACTGCCCATCCCAGATGTATGAAGACCTATGGTTACCCTGTAGCAACAGTAGCTCTCGAGATGCAGGTTCGGGATGCACAGGGGAAACCTCCATGACGATGTCTATAAATTGAACAATATTAATTAAAGTATTTTTCTTTTTGATTGCTTAACATCTTTAAACATATTGCAATATCTTTTATATTATAATATTTAATCAATATATTTAATATATTATTACTAGGTTGATATATTTTCTATATTATTATTTTATATGTTAGTTTATTACATTATTTTATATGTTAGTTTATTAATTTATATGTTAGTTTATTATTTTATATGTTTGTTTCTTATTTTATATGTTTGTTTATTATTTTATATATTAGTTTATTATTTTATATGTTAGTTTATTACATTATTTTATATGTTAGTTTATTAATTTATATGTTAGTTTATTATTTTATATGTTTGTTTCTTATTTTATATGTTTGTTTATTATTTTATATATTAGTTTATTATTTTATATGTTAGTTTATTATTTTATATATTTATTTCTTACTCAGCTATTTTTGGGTATAATAGAATTAAATAATTAATTTTTATACCTATACACGATATAATTAATAAGTATTCATATAAAAATACTTAGTTTCACAAATATTGTTATTTTTTATGTTATTTTCTTATATTTATTGACTAAAATTCGGGAGAATTTGTGTTTGAACTATCATCTTTTATTCAGATATTTTTGTGGTTAACAGGTAATTAAATGATTAATTTTAATAACTACAAAGATAATTATTGATATAACAGATATTAATATTTCATATGTTAGTTTTCAACATTTTTCCACTAAAGTAACACTACTCAAAATGGCCATGAACAAAGTCAACTACTATTAGCTAAAATTTATTATCAGTTTTGCTACGCTAAATAGCAATACATTACAATTACGGGCACAACATAACACAAAAGGGCACTAAACAACAATAAATTCACATATTAATATACGTACAACAATAAAATACAAATAACATTAATTATTCATAAAATAATTATTTATCTATTTTACTAATTTTTAAGCACATAAATAATCTAATCCGGATAAAAAATAATAAATTAAATAAATCACAAAACAATCACGAAAAAATATAGACCACAGTAAAAAATAACTAATAAATATTTTTTATAACAATTAATAACATTAATTATTCATAAAATAATAATTTATCTATTTTACTAACTTTTTAGCACATAAATAATCTAATCCGGATAAAAAATAATAAATTAAATAAATCACAAAACAATCACGAAAAAATATAGACCACAGTAAAAAATAACTAATAAATATTTTTTATAACAATTAATAACATTAATTATTCATAAAATAATAATTTATCTATTTTACTAACTTTTTAGCACATAAATAATCTAATCCGGATAAAAAATAATAAATTAATTAAATCACAAAACAATCACGAAAAAATATAAGCCACAATATAAAACAACTAATACACATTTTTATACATGAGTTTTAACAAAAAGTAATGCGGAATACCTCGATTTAAAATTTTTTTGAAAAGTGAAGATTTGATGATTTGAGGGCCGAAACGAGCAATCCACTAAGCGATAACCACTTAGATCCGGTGTTAGTTTGCTACAATACCGAGAAACTACACTTTTTGTGGGACGGGTGGGCTCCAATGAGGTTTTTTCGCTTTAAAAATGGTGGGGACTGCTGGAATGGGGAAAGAGGGTTACTAGTTTTCTGGTCGGGGAAGACACTTTTTTTTACTATAGAGCATCCTATGTGCGATATACCTCCCGCCATTTGAATTCAAATATAATGCGGTTATTCACCGCACTATACCTTAACGGACAAACGTGATGTTAATGTATAGCGCGATGAATAATTGCGCTATATATAAAATGATACACCGTTTTGTTATTACCTATTTGTGTCTTTTGAGTACAAAAGAACTAAAACTTTTGGTTCAGGACTCGTTTTTTACTCGTCTTCGAAGGTATATTTATTTTATTTAAAGTAGATCTTCAAGCTTGAAATTGAGAACATATGGTTCTCGTGCTCTTGAATTTTGTGAAACTTACCAGCAATTGCGTAAGTTTAAAGAAGCGATGTCCATATTTCAAAAACGATCAAATGACAAATCATTGTAACAGTTTATTATTTGCTGAAATTGAAATCTATATTAGAGTATGAGTAATTGGTTCAAAATTAGGATTTTAGATTTGATAAATAATTTTTTTTTACCTTCAAATGATTTGTTGTTCACTTCAACATATGAAGGTAGTTAATGACCATTGGTTTGCTTGATCCTTAGATTAAAAGCTTCAATACTGCCACATCTATTTTTATAGCAAATAGTTACATGAAACAATACTTTTTAATAAACCTATCTACTTATGTAAGTATTATTTTATACGATCAATGCACCCCATATTTCCCTTTTATATGTTGCTTATAGATACATAATCGTATCTTGATCATAAGTAAATATACGAGGCAACGGAAGCATTTGAATCCTTTTGAGCTTTGATTGGCTCTACTTCCTTAACCGGAGTCACTTGCAATTGTAGCGACATTATACGTACAACAACCTACACATCTTTGCAATCCTTTCGAGCTTTCAATGGCACTAATTCATTAACCATAGTCACTTGCAAAGAGTAGGCAACATTAACAGCAACCTATGTACATATTTTGAATCCTTTAGACCTTCGAGTCACTTAGCAAAGTTGCAGTGACATTAACAGCAGCCTATGTACATATTCTGAACCCTTTCGAACTTTAGTTCGAACTAATTCCTTAAAGGAACTTGCAAAATGTTGCAACATTATACGTGCAACCTATACAAGTTAGGCAAGAAGATATAATTAGGGCTCGTATGGTTCAAAACAAAATTAACTCAAAATCACATAATTATATTTTGCTCATTAGTGGTAGTTAGTATCTACACAAAATTATATACATATTAACTACCACTAATGACCAAACAGTAAAAAAAAATACAATTTCAAATTAAATATCAGAATTATGACTTATCTTACTCCAAACGACCCTTTGTTAAAATTAGCACTCCACTACATTCCTTTCAAGCCATAGTTATTAGGTTAGGTGATGTTACTACCGCCGCAAGATATAGTTTAGTGAAATATATTAAAATGTCCTTTGAAGAAATGTTAAATAATGGAGTTACCAGTTTATAATGCTTCTATTTGCACGAAAATCTAGAACGAAAAGGACAAGTATCAGACAGCGAGCAAAGTCCTAGCCTATAAACCCTAAAATTACAAAAATAATATTTATCTAACTGGTTATTAAAGTAAGACTACTGGCTGATATTTCTAAGTTTATTTTTTCGTTAAAGAAAACTAGTACAGAATTAACCCAAAACTGTTATTTATAGAAAACACTAGACATTCACTTAACGATGCGTTATCGATTTACAGAAATAATGTAATATATATACATGTTTTGTTACAAAGAAGATGAAGTTAAAACTATTTCCTTAATTGTACACTACTGCAAAAAAACAGATGTAAAAATGTTTTCTGCATCTCAAATCTGGACAAAGGAAAAAGCTGCTGGGGCTTGCTTTATCTGATAAACCTGCGCTGATAGATTTTGCAAATCCAACAAGCTGATAAACTTCGATTTCTTCAGAACCCAGAAATAGGAATTAAGATCTACAGACCTGAAACTTAAAAAGTCAAATATTAAAAAACAAATTCCAGCAAATTTGGCAAATAATCAAACAAAGAATGAAGTTATACAGATGTATTCTAAATTTTTTCTTCAGATCCTATTTATAGGAAAAAAGATCTAGAGACCTGGATAATAAAATCAGATGCTAGATCTCTACAAAACATAAAAGAAATTAAAGACAACAAGAATACAAATCTGGTCAAATGAATGTAGAGCTCCCTTCAATCCAAAAAGGGATCCAACTTAGGGCAATGAAGCTCCTGACATATGCAACCCACAAACCTATCCAATCAAATAATAGATAGGGCTGAGGAATCCATAGGTCAGCAGCTCAATCTTACCTGTTAGATCCTCTGTTGGACTTCAAGGAGCTCCACTCTCAAAACCCTAAAACATTCTTATATCACATATAAAGACAACAAAAGTCAACCTAAATCCTGTCCTAAGAAACTGCCCAAAGACTGTCCTCAACTTCCATCTCAAAAAAACCTTAGACACAAACCTCTCATAACAACAAAAGAAAAAGATCAAAACCCAGAAAACCACAAGGCTTCTTGAATCGATCTACATATATATACAGATGTGTGGTAAAGGAAAGAAAAAAAAAGACTGAAAAAGATAACCCTAGGTAGAAAATGAAAAATGAAAAAAAAAACAAAAAACAAGAAGAGCAATTTAGAAACAACTCAAAACTGCTACTAAGATGAAACAGCGAATGAAGAGAGAAGTGAGGATTGTTGAAAGGAGAGGGGAGTATATATAATGGGTGTAGGAAATGAGATATGGCAAGTAAGGGTAGTGCTAATATTTTGTTTTTCTTTTGTTTGGTAAGAGAGTGAAAGCATTGGGTAGTGTGGGGCAAATTAAAGTTTTTTTGTGATTACTATTGCCTTGCACCCATATCTATGTAGTCCTTTGGATTGATTAGATTCTCTTCACACATTTTGAAATATCACATGCTCTTGTCACCCAAAGTAACCTACAAATTTACAGCTCCCTCTCGTCTTGTTAAACAGTCTAGCTCTAGCAGTTGTAGGGTTCGTACTTTTTTTCTTCTTTACTTATATTTTTTTGGGTTTGTAATTTTGACGTTTGTTTGACTATGAACAGTGTCTGGGAGTAGTTAATGGAGTACGGCAGAAAATATACATTATAAATACCATTAAAATGTCTCTCCGCCATTATGGAATGAGAAAAGTGAATTTGGTGCTATTGCTTTTCCACCTGTATTTCGTTGTCCCCGAGCATTAAAGTTGTTTTAGGGTTTAGGAAAGAATAATGAGAAATACTCCATATATACTTTTAGCTGTTTTTAAAAAATAATAATTGATAAAATATATTTTTTATATATGTATTAATATAAAAATATATATTTAAATATTTTCGGACGAGCGAATATAATTAATTTCAACCCATTGATTAGCGGTATTTTGCCCGAGAATCATCTCATATGGTGGCCTCATCATGTACCGTTGGATCGACTTGAGCCAATTTTTTTATTGAAAAAATAATTTAATTGCTTCCTTTTGTTAAATTTACAAATCATATCGTATCAAACTAAGTTAATTTTTTCGATTTCTGTTATAAAATAAAGACTATAAAATAAAGACAAGTATATAGAAAAATTGATATATTATTCAACTTTCAAACTTATGTACCTAATGAACTGAAAATTCATCTATTTATAGAAGAAAGGAAGCAGATGCGAGGCTTTTCTTGAGCTGCTTGTAAGCTGTCTGCATGAGCTTCTTGTAACTGCATGTTTAATAAGAAACTGCTGCAAATCATTTCATTGAGTTGCTTGCAATCTGTCTGCATCAGCTGCTTGTAGATAAACTTCAATAGAGTATCAAACGGATAATCTTCTTTAGGAAGATTATCTATAGCGGAGTAATAAATGGACGTCCACATTATAATTATTTTCATAACACTCCCCCTTGGATGTTCATTAAAAGATATTGTGCCTCGTTAAAATCCTAGTGAAGGAAAAAGAGTACACATGTTTAGTAACATGCAATTCTAGCTGCCTCATTAAAAAACTTACAAGAAAAACCCCATGGAAAAAAAAACTTAGTAAGGAAAAAAGAGTACAACGCGTATTTCACTCCCCCTCCCTTGTTCCAAATATTTGAGTCTCTGCATTCCAATCTTGTATACTATTTTCTCAAAAGTTGAAGTTGACAAAGATTTAGTGAACAAATCTGCTATATTGTCACTTGAACGGATTTGTTGCACATTGATGTCACCATTTTTCTGAAAATCATATGTGTATAATAATTTTGGTGAAATGTGCTTCGTTCTATTTCCTTTTATAAGTCCTCCTTTTAATTGGGCTATGCATGCATCATTGTCTTCGTATAAAATCGTGGATCTTTTATCACATTCCAAACCATATTTTTCTTGAATAAAATGAATCACTGATCTCAACCATACGCATTCCCTACTTGCTTCGTGAATAACTATTATCTCAGCATGATTTGAAGAAGTAGCAACAATTGATGCTTTGTGGAGCGCCATATATGATAGTACCTCCACATGTAAATATGTACCCGATTTGAGGTCGAGCTTTATCGGGATCAGATAAATAACCTGTATTTGCATAACCAACAAGATATGCACTACCCTTGTTAGCATAAAACAAACCCATATCAAGAGTTCCCTTTAAATATCACAAAATATGCTTAATCTCATTCCAATGTCTCCGTGTAGGAGAAGATCTATACCTTTCTAGTAAATTAACAGAAAATATTATGCCAGGCCTTGTAGTATTAGCAAGATACATAAGTGCACCAATTGTACTGAGATAGGGTATTTCAGGACCAAAGAGTTCCTCATCCTCTTCTGGAGGTTGGAACGGGTCCTTATTCACTTCAAGTGATCGAACAACTATTAGTGTACTCAATGAGTGCACTTTGTATGTGTAGAAGCGTTTTAAGACCCTTTCTATATAAGTAGATTGATGTATAAAGATCTTGTCTGCTAAATGTTCAATTTGCAGTCCAAGACAAAGTTTTGTCTTTCCAAGATCTTGCATCTCAAATTCTTTCTTAAGATATTCAATTGTCTTTTGGAGCTCTTCTGGAGTTCTAACAAGATTTATGTCATCAACATAAACAACAAGTATAACAAATTTTGATGCCATTTTCTTTATAAAATACATAGACAAATAACATCATTTATGTAACCTTCTTTCAGCAAATATACATTGAGGCGATTATATCACATGCACCCAGATTGATTTAAACCGTACAAAAATCTTTGTAATATGATTTAGTACATTTCACGATACTTTGAACTATATGCTTCATGCATTTTAAATCCTTCGGGGATCTTCATATTGACTTAATCAAATAATTCATATAGGTTATGACTTGCATTTAGATGGCATGGCGTCTTCAGGTGTGTGGACTACAGGTCTGATCCTCACAATTATTTATAATATTGTGTACTATATTGTATCAAATATATCGCTGACGATTATTTTGTATCGGTTCCTAAACGACATAACTTGTTGAGATCTCGTCACTTTCTTTATTTTCAGGTACCTGAACTTCTTCTCGAGTTTCATGAAATATTATGTCATGGACTCTTCTATAGTTTATTTTCTCCTCATTATGATCATTTTGATCATTTGCTCCTGTCATTTTTCAAGGATTGTTACCTTTGGAACCGATCGGTTTACTACGCTTCATGCGTGTAGTAAACCTTATCCTTCAGGGACCTAAATTTTAATATGAGCATTTACAGCTGAAATATCATATTTAATTTTAGATCAGCAAATGCTTCTGGCATTTGACTTGAATTATCTTCTAAGTGAGGATCATATTAATGATAATTCGATCCATATAGCATATTTTTTAGCTGTTTATTCCATCCCCCAAATGTTAAAAAAACTAACACATATCCCCAATCTTCTTTGAAAAATCTATCTTTGTGCATTGTGGTAGAGAAATTAATCATATACCACACATCAAAAGTTATTAGATAGTAAAAATATTTGGTTTCTGATCCTAAACCAATTGTGAGGGGAGGACTTATCATATTTTGTTGGTCTGATGCATACAAGTGTTGCTGCATGCAATTTAGAAAATCTTAGACCAACACATAAGGCTTTGTTCTCATAAGCAATAGTTTAGCCACTAATAGGAGGTATTCGATGCTAAACTAGCTTGGATATAAACCAGCATCATCAAAATAAACTATCTTGATTTCATAATCTGAAAAGTATGCTCTTAATTGAGAAAAGCCATTTCAAATGCCAAACTGCAGGTTGACAATAAACACACATGTAACCATCTCATATATGCATCTATAAGTGATTCACATGATAGGTAAATGGGCCCACATTCACCTTTTATATATTCCAGAATTCAGGGGTCTTAGTCCCAACTTTAGCTAGTATAATCAATTTATTATGAGAACAAGCAACACAAGAGAATTCTTGAAGAATCTTCTAGTTTTTCAGTATATGCTTATCTGAATTCTTAAATAGCTCATTTAAAAATGGCAAATGTAAACTTCAAGTTTATCATGGCATGTGCTATCTCTTAGTAAGCTTCTGGTTTACTATGGTATAAACTTTTGCATTAGCAAACTTTTGATTTACTATGGCTACTTTTATATCAGTGAATTTCTGATTTACTGTAGCTACTTTTGCTTCAGTAAAACTTCTGATTTATTGTGACTGCTTTTGCATTAATAAACTTCTGGTTTACTGTGATACATGATATAGTACAAATTGAAGAATAAGGTGGTTCACTTCTCACATACATATTATTTTATCCCTATAATTATGGAAACATGAAGATTTTCAATCTTCCAATCATTTGTAGTCTCAATATAATTGCCATTTATATTAGTAAACTTTAGGTTTACTACAACATAGTTTTGACCATAATCATATAATATGAATGGCATATTTGTATATAAGCTCTATGAGAGCCTTCGTTTATTATCCACAATCTAATATTTATCGGACACTACTGGTGTCATGTGTCTTCTAGACAAACATCTAGCTCTCCAGGAGTTATTGATACATTTTGTACTATCAAATATTGCTCAGACATTTCTGGTATCATGAGAGAAAATTATAATCAAATAAACAATATAAATACAATTCTAAATTTATAAATGTCAGAAATCAAGAATTTTAATATTTTTACCACCAACTTTGTGACAAATATCTCCTTCAAGGAGAAACGCCATTAACATATGAATATTTTATATCAAAGCGACACCACATAGTCATTACATCCTTCAGGAAAATATACATGAGTTGTTATTTTCTTCGGGGTAGTTAATAATAACTAATCATAATATATCAATGTGGTTGTAGTAGAAAGCATTCTACAAGAATGCTTTTACCTTAGAATGATACTTAATAAAATTATCCAAGATGTTTTACGTACAACAGGTACGTGTGGCAATGATGTTTATGCTACAAAAATAATATTTATATCCTCTATGATTCTACCAATTCAGGAGGTGAGTTGTGGTATTTCTTCATTTACTCCAGGGAATGAAAATGTGCTTAAAAGTAACTTTGAATAGTGTTATAAAATAAAGACTGTAAAGTAAAGACAAGTATAGAGAAAACCTGATATATTATTCAACTTTCAAACTTATGTACATAATGAACTGAAAACTCCTCTATTTATAGAATAAAGGAAGCAGCTGCGATGCTTTTCTTGAGCTGCTTGTAAGCTGTCTGCATGAGCTGCTTGCAACTGCCTGTTTAATAAGAAGTTGTTGCAAATCATTTCATTGAATTTCTTGCAACCTGCATGCATCAGCTGCTTGTAGATAAACTTCAATAGAGTACCGAACGGATAATCTTCTTCAGGAAGATTATCTATAGCGGAGTAATAAATAGACATCCACACTATAATTATTTTCATAATAGTTTCTACATTTTGTCAGATTTTACATCATCTTTTTAAAAAATTTCCATTTTTTTTTACTAATCACACACACAAACACACATCGCATACTCCACTTAGTTTTACAAGGATAATTGATATAAAGGTAAAATAAAAAGAGTAGTAGGTGTATTTTTAGCAGAAAGTTTAAAATTGACAATCGTGAAACTACATTACTGTGTAAGGGGAGCAACTTTAAACTGACAAGCTAGAAATTCATATGGGCAACATCAAGTTCATATCGTGAATGAATTTGAGATAGCTCGCTCTAATACTTTTTTGCATATATAATATATTTTTGAGGATTACGCGTGGACTTAATATTAAATTCACGATTTTACCAATTATTTTATTAGTTCCTTTATATACCTTTTACATACTGATTGTTTTTTTACCTACCGATGAGTGATGTGTCAGTTCGAATCCTTAACAGAATCAAGATTTAACTCATAATATTAAGGCAACAAAATAATGAAGTAACTCAATGTTTTTTTTTTGGCTAATAATAAGGAGACCTTATATGCCAAAATCCGTCCCTAGGAAATTTAGCGTAATATGGCATTAAGGAAAGAATCGGTCGAGCTCACCGAAGATGCAGCAAAGTCATTGGCCGAGGTGCCGACATGAGCCGTAATCGAGATGTCGACAGGAGTCGTAATCGAAATATCAATAAGGGTCGAGGTCGAAATTAACTATTAATGATAAGACTTGTAACAGCTAATTTGTCATGATAGGATATTAAGAGGAAATATTCTAGTGGATATTCCCTTCGTTTGTACTATTAGGGTTTCCTAGGAAAATGCCCATATATATATAGAAAGAAGAGACAATGATATGGGCATGTAATATTCATTTTGATAAGAATATTTTTGAGAAGAAGATTCTCTCTCTTTCTTGCAAGAATACAAAGACTACCTTTTGATAAAGATTTTTATTCATATTATTCCCCACCTTTCCACCAGATCCGAGGATTGTTCATACGAATCTTGGACCTATCGGTCACTCATCATTGTAAGGAGAAACATTCATTCAACTCATCCATTATTGGGTGAATCATTCTCCTTATTTACTTAAATGTTATTTATTGTCATTTACTGTTAGTTATATCTCCATCAATGTTCATGTTTTAAGAATATTCCGCACTTGTTGTCATCAACTATTTACGGGATTTGTTCCCACCTACTGCATATTTTAGAGATTAGTATCTAGAGTTATTATCATTAACTTGATTTAACCCCTTATTATATAAATTAAATAGTTTAACCGGAAATTACGCTTTTTGGTCAAATAATTTGGCTCCGTTTGTGGGGATTTTCTAGCTAACTCTTTTAGTTTCTTCTAAATCTATAACCGATACTGGTTACTGACAAAAAACAAAACAAAATAAAGAGCCTTCTTCTCTCTACATGCATAGATCTAACATGGCAGGTAACAGAGAAGAAATAATGAGAATAATGAGTGACCTCCCAACCAACCTCATAGACATCATCCACGAAAGCTCTGAAGTAGTGGACGAGGACACAACGCTCAATGCCTCTCCTATGCGAGGTGGATCACCCCTTCCCCACTGCAACATCACAAAATCCCTTGGCAAGACAGCCTCCACATTCGTGGGAGAGGAGACACCACCAACGATAAAGAAGCTCCTTGAGGCTTGGCCAACTGATATACTGATCAGCGTCCTCCATAAGCCCGTTCAGGATGCGACCGCAGCAAAGGCAAGAACCTGTGCTGCATCGCCAGTGGACGAGCAACATGATCAGCCCCCTCCACCCACGACGACGTGTATTACTCATAATGTTGTTAACAATGCAGGCGACGATGCTCTCACAACCATTTTGTAAAGGATGGAGGAAATGGAAAATGAGAACAAGACACTTCGGGATCAAATGAGAGAGCATAGAGAAAGGGTCGATAAAATACCGGGCGCTCCTAAGTTATTACCGAAGAGAGATGCCAGTCGATTCGTCGAGCAGCCGTACAGTGATAGCGCTGCCCCACATGCCATACCAAAGACCTTTAAAATGCTGCCTTATCTGAAAATATACGATGGCACGGCTGACCCCGAGGATCATGTGACCCATTACCTCACCAAAGAACAAGTATCCTCCATTCTGCTAAACATATTCGGTGAAACCTTCACGGGAGGTGCATTAACCTGGTACTCGCAACTGCCAGCACGTTCCACCGAAACCTTTGAGGAAATGGCCGATAAGTTTGTGACAACCCATGCCGTGGCCAAAAAGTCCGAGGCAAGAGTGAATGACATATTTGCTATCAAACAGTCCCCGAGAGAAGGACTGAGGGAATTCCTCGCCCGTTTCAACTGAGTAAGAATGACCTTACCCAATGTATCAGAAGGAATAGCGGTATCTGCTTTTCAAAATGGGCTGAACATAAATGGTTCAAGGGCAACAAGAAAATTATTAAGCCGACTTATGAAATATCCCCCAACGACCTGGGACGAAATACATAATGCGTACTGTGCCGAAATCTTACTGTGCCGGAGTTCGAGCAGACGAAGACGACCTCAATGGGCCGACTCATCGACTGACCTCAGTACAAGCGGAATCCAGAAAGGATCAGAGAAGTGATATCAGAAGAGATCCAGCGGCCTCACGGCCAAATTTGGAACGACATCTCCCATATGTCAGAACTACCGATGTATCCTCATCTCGCCATGAAGAAGGACCACCTCGATCAAGAACAAGGACTCACTGGAATAAGAGAGGTATGCCTCCTTTACTATCCGCTCATAATTTTTGCGTGTCACCTACAGAGATCGTCTACGCCTTGGAGAAGCTCGGACCAAAGGTAAAGTGGCCACAAAAGATGAGGTCGGACCCAAATACCAGAAAATCAGATGCCCTCTGCGAGTTCCACCAAGAGCGAGGACATAAAACCAAATATTGCATCGCCCTAAGACAAGAGGTCGTAAACATGTTGCGATAGGGACACCTCAAAGAATTGTTGAGCGATCGGGAAAGGACCAGCTTTGCCAGGGGATGCGAACAACATCAAGGGCCTCCGAAGCCGCCCTCGCCACCCCGCACCATCCACATGATCATCGGTGGAGGGGACGATGCTTCCATCAACAACGTGAAGTTCACCACAACCCACAAGCTCAAACGGTCGATCACCCACGAATGGTATGATGAACTCGAAGAAAGTATCATCTTTGATAAGTCAGATACCAACAGTTTGGCATTCCCTCACTATGACGCTCTCGTTATTACTTTACGAATATTAGATACCGACGTGAGATGAATTATGGTAGATGATGGGAGCGACACGTGTATTGTCCATTCTCGAGTACTCACACAAATTAAACTCGAGGACAAGATAATACCATGTTGTATCACACTAACTGGCTTTAACAATGCAGTTGAACGAACATCCGGTGAGATCACACTTTTCGTCCTAGCGGGTGGCGCCACTCTGGAGACCACATTCCACATCATGGACCAGGACACGACATACAACGCCATAATAGGGCGACCATGGATACACACCATGAGAGCTATACCCTCCAGCTTGTACCAAGTCATCAAATTCCCAACTCCATGGGGCATATTCAGCATACACGGGGAGCAGCGCACATCCCAAGAGTTCTACCACATCGCCCTAAACTGCACGGCCACCCAACAAATGAGAAATAGAGAGAAAGAGGCATATCAATCAATAGGTCGAGGTCTGTAAGCGATGACAGTGAAGATGTCATCAAAGACCCCGACTCGATCGAGGCTGCGGGATCGACCGTAGAGGACCTTGACCCCATCCAATTAGACGGCAACGACCATAACAAGAAAGCTTACATCGGCTGCAAACTTCAAGAATTGGGTAAGTTTCATGAATTTTTAACTGCTAACGAGAACTTGTTTGCTTTTAGCCATATAGATATGCCAGGTATCCCAAAAGAGATCGCCACACACAAATTAAACGTCGATCCACTCTACCCCCAGTGAGGTAGGCTCGACGAAAGTTCAACTCCGAATCAATGATGCAGTGCGCGAAGAAGTGGAAAAATTATTGGAAAACGATTCTGTCAGGAAGTCGAAGTACCCCCAATGGGTCGCCAACATGGTCATGGTGAAAAAAAAGAACGGCAAGTGGCGGATGTGTGTAGATTTCACCGACCTGAACAAAGTTTGCCCCAAGGATTCCTTCCCATTACCTCATATCGACCAGCTCATCGACGCGACAGCCGGGCACGAGCTGCTAAGTTTCTTGGATGCCTACTCGGGCTACAATCAGATCCTTATGGAGGAAGAGGACCAGGAAAAGACCACCTTCATCACCCACCAGGGGACGTACTGTTACAGGGCCATGCCTTTCGGATTGAAAAATACGGGGGCAACTTACCAAAGGCTGGTGACGAAGATGTTCAAAGAACAACTAGAAAAAATGATGGAGGTATACGTCGATGACATGCTGGTCAAATCCAGAAGGAAAGAAGATCACGTCGACCACTTAAGAGAAGCCTTCGGCATACTCAGGCAATACAATATGAAACTGAACCCCAAAAAATGTGCATTCGGCATGGCCTCAGGAAAATTCTTGGGTTTCCCAGTGTCGCAGCGGGGTATCGAGGTTAATCCTAACCAAATCAAGGCCATCGACGGGATACCAGAACACTTGACCACCAAAAAGCAGGTCCAGAAGCTGACTGGCTATTTCGCCGCCCTTTCGAGGTTCATCTCACGATCCTCCGATAGATGCCACAAGTTCTTCGGCATACTCAAAAAGGAAAATAGCCTCCAATGGACCCCTGAGTGCGTCCAAGCCCTAAATGAGTTAAATGTGTACTTGTCCTCGCCACCGTTGCTCTAAAAACTGGAACTAGGACACTCCCTCCTCGTCTACCTCGTCGTGTCTGAAGTAGCTGTGAGCGCAGTCTTAGTCCAAGAAAATAAAGGTACGCAATCTCCCACCTAATACATTAGTCAGGCACTAGTCGACGGCGAGACCAGGTACCCCCATCTTGAAAAACTGGCTCTGGCCTTAGCCGTAGTTTCACGAAAGCTTAGACCGTATTTCCAATACCATCCCATCTCGGTCGTCATGACTTTCCCCTTAAGAAGCATTTTACACAAACCCGAACTATCGGGAAGATTGGCCAAATGGGCCATCGAACTAAGCGAGCACGATATTACCTATCGACCACGAACGGCGATAAAGTCACAGGTCCTCGCTGACTTCAGTGCACAAATAATGCCCGAAGTCGAAAAGGAAGCCGTCCACGCTTCTTCCCAAACACAAGACCTCTGGGTCCTGTACACCGACGGTGCATCTAACGCATCGAGGTCCGGGCTGGGACTCGTACTTGAAGTTCTAACAAGCAAAGTGATTCGCCAGTCTATAAGGTGCCCGGACATGACTAACAATGAGGCCGAGTATGAGGCCGCAATTGCAGGGTTAAGACTAGCAGTCAAATATGGGGCGAAGTAGTTAAGGTTGCGCTGCGATTTTCAGCTCGTGGTCAACCAAGTCACAAGGACTTTCCAAATCAAGGAGCAGAGGTTACAAAAATACCATACCGAAATCTGCTAACTACTACCCGAGTCCGACGAATGTCAACTCGACCAGATTCCCCGAGCACAGAATATCGAGGTGGACAACCTCGCCAAATTAGCAACAGCCACCAAAAACATTATAACCGAAGACCAAAATGTGGTCCACCTCATTGACTCGTCAATAGACCAAATCGAGGTAAGAACCATAAACCTAACTTGGGACTGGTGCAACCGTATTATTACATATTTGCAGAACGACGTACTCCCAACGATAATAAAGAGGCTAAGAAGCTGCGAATGCAAGTGGCCAGATCCAACATCGTTCACAACGACTTATACAAAAGAACATATGGCGGACCTCTAGCAAAATGCTTAGGCCCAAATCAGACGCGGCGCGTCCTTGAAGAAGTACACGAAGGCCACTGTGGAGCTCACTCTGGAAATTGAGCTTGGGTCTGGTACCTCATACGATGTGGGTATTACTGGCCCACCATGAAAAAAGAGGTCGCAAATTTCGTGAAAAAATGTGAACAATGCCAGAAGTACGCCCCAATGATCCACCAAGCAGGAGAACACCTACACTCAGTAACTTTTCCTTGACTGTTCATCAAATGGGGAATGGACATCGTGGGCCCCCTCCCGGCAGGACGAGGTAACATACTATTTCTCTTAGTTTTAACTGACTACTTCTCTAAATGGGTGGAAGTAGGAGCATTCGCCCAAATACGTGAAGAGGAAGTGATCGCCTTCATATGGAAAAACATCATATGCCGTTTCGGTCTCCCCAAAGAAATCAGCTGCGACAACGAACCTCAATTTCCAGGAAAGAAGGTTGCCGACTTTTTTGATAAATGGCACATCAAAAGAATACTGTCAACGCCTTACCACCCCGTGGGCAACGGGCCAGCAGAGTCCTCCAACAAGTCAATACTGAACATCATGAAGAAGAAGCTCGAAGACGCCAAGGGGTTGTGGCCGGAAATATTACCAGAAGTGCTCTGGGCCTACCGAACAACGCCAAAAATGAGCACAGGGGAAATGCCATGCTTGTTAGTCTATGGGACTGATGCAGTAATACCAGTCGAGGTCGGGGAGCCCAGCCTAAGATACTTCCGTGAAAGCGGATCACAGAATGATGACAGTAGAAGGCAGGAACTCGACGAAGTCGGGAAACGAAGAGATATGGCCTATGTGAGAATGGTCGCCCAAAAGCAACAAGCAGAATGCTAGTATAACAAAAGAGCAAAGATCATGCCACTTAAAGTCAGGGACTACGTGCTTAAAGCCAAAACACAAGCAAGCAAAGATCCAATTGGAACATTACACACCTCAAGTACTTCAACTTTTAAATGACGAGGTCCCCAAAGTCGCACTCTTTTTCCCTCACTCGAGTTTTGTCCCAATTGGGTTTTTTCAAGGAGGTTTTTAATGAGGAGATGACGAGGATACTTCAGGATTGAAGTGCGCACAGACGAAGATGCTGGACGACTAGTTCATTGCTCAATCTCTCACTATTTTTCCAGTTCGATCAATGAAGGGACTAGATAGACCGGGACTGAACTACGAGCCAACACCCGAAAAATATGTAAATCTCTTCAAGAATATGAACAAAGCACAAGTACATGAAGTTTATTTCTCCAAGATTATGAACAAAGCCCACGACCTCAACTAATTAAAGGTTACATTCGACCTCGTTCGAATTAACACCTACTCGGTCCACGGCCTCGACCAATTAAAGGTTATATTCGACCTCATTCGAATTAACACCTACTCGGTCCACGGCCTCGACCAATTAAAGGTTATATTCGACCTCATTCGAATTAACACCTACTCGGCCCACGACCTCAACTAATTAAAGGTTACACTCGACCTCGTTCGAATTAACACCTACTCGGCCCACAACCTCAACTAATTAAAGGTTTTCGAATTAACACCTTCTCGGCCCATGACCTCAACTAATTAAAGGTTACATTCGACCTTGTTCAAATTAACATCTACTCGGCCCACAACCTCAACTAATTAAAGGTTACATTTAACCTTATTCGAATTGACACCTACTCGGCCCACGACCTTAACTAAATAAAGGTTACATTCGATCTCGTTCGAATTAATACCTAATCAGCCCACGACCTTAACTAAATATGCGACGTGTTTGACCTCGAACCAACACCTACTGGCCGTCGGCCACAATCAAACGTAGGCTTCATTTCAACCTCGTTTAACCTACTCAAACAAATTTATTATGATAAAGGCAACCAAGCAACAAAATCAAAAAATCGCACAAATCTGAACAAAGAAAAGGAATCAGGTACGAATAACAAAACTAACACTTCATACTTAGAATATTTTTTACAAAGACTCGAATGCACGCCTACAAAAAGTACATACAAGCCTGCGGCTAAACAAAAAAAAGAATAACTAATCACCGCCTGGCCCAGCACCACCACTAGCTTGATAGTCCAGATCATCTCCACCTACCTCATTGCCATCGCCAGCGGGATATTCATCCTCATACCAGGCATCTTGTTCAATCTGATCCACGCACGCACCCTCCTCATCGTCGCCGACTTCCGGTGTGGCGGGATCATAGCCGCAAGCAAATCGAGCTTTACATGTTTTAGCACGAGCATCCTCGAAGTCGGATTCTAAAACAACCCCCGCCCCATTAGATCCCTGAATATATCCAGTTGGGCCTCAACGTGAATCCATTCCTCATACAAATCTCGCGGAACATCAGGAAAAGCAGAAGTGCGGGAAGAGGATGGCTGAGCCAACAACTGCGCCTTCTCGACCTCGAGAACAGCCACTCGATCAATAAGGCTCGAAGCCTCTTTCTCCAGCTCCCCTATCCGCTCATCAAGTCGCTCGTCTCTAAGCTTGGATGTCTCCAAAGCATTCTCCTGCACAGAACGAAGAACGTGGATCATGATTGTAAAAGCTTTTGCTCTCCTCGCAGCCGACAACTGAGCCAATTTTGCCTTCTCTAAGCCCGCCGCCTTATCAGCAACCTCGCTACTCAGAGCATTCACTTTGATTTGACACTTCTCGAGTTCGGCACGCAACAAAACCACCTGGGCTTGAAGATTGGCGCATTAGGCCTTAACCCCCTTGCTCACCTCAAGTTCTTCTTCTTTGTCCTCAATGCCCCCTTGAGGACGCTGCATTTTCTGATGACCCTCACCAACTCGTCATCCTTCTCCTTCAGTTCGTATTGGAGAGCCCGTAAATTGCCGCTCCCACCGAACCGCCTGCAAATCTCGCGGTGTTTATCACAGTATTCACGATATTTCTGCTCTATCTTCTGAAAAATGGCCTTACACCTCTCCTCTCATCGGGCGCTCTCGATCTCCAAAATCACGATCTGAAAGAAAGACAGAGAATAAGGAGTAAGAATGAAACTTTGAGCTCAACGTAAAAAATGTAGAGAGATCAAAAGGCTTACCCTAAGAGCGAGGTCGGCTATACTCCTCGATAAAGTGGTGTCCTTTAGCTTCTCAAGGGTTTTACCCTCCATATCGGAACAGAGGGAACCAAGAGAAGGGACCACGTCCTCCATATCTACCAGCAAATCCTGGTCCAAGGGGATCGCAATAGTCCGCGTGGTCCCCTCCAATCTCACCTAAAGTTGGGTAAGTCCTTCCCCCATCATCCTCACTTCCTCGGCATCCATATCGGAGCCCGTCTCGTAAACTTCTTCGGCTACACTTTTTCCTTTTGTGTCGACCTTGGAAAAAGGATCCTCGACTGTTAGTGAGGCCGATGGCTCATCTTGCCGTAAGATGTCAGGGACTCTCGTCGTTTGCCCTTCAAAATCCATCACGACCTCAGGGAGAGATGTACCCTCCTCGGCTCCCGACTATGGAGAAATAATGGGCGGTAACTCGGCATCATCTCCAAGTTCTATGGTCGCCGTTTCTCGGATGACAAAATCTTCCATCACCTAACTCCCCGCACGGACAACTCTTTCACCAATGCCTACAGATCGCCTCCTACGGGAAAACAAGTTATCACCATTCGACGATGATTCCCCCTTATCATCCTCGCCTCATAGATGATACATAGGGGAAGTCGTGTCACTTCTTGTAAAAAGAAATCGTAACGAGCAGGCGACCATGAGGTCAAAATGGTATGGATAAAAGATAATAAATGTATAGATAAATACATATAGACGAACTCACCAGTCACTGAAGGCGCGGGCCCGAATTTCTTATTAAAAATCGGCCATTCACAAATCCCCACTGTGTGAGGCAAGACCTGGCTGTCCAGTCATGAATTTCTCCGAACAAAGGAGGGGGCGAAGTCTCAACTGCGCAAAGAAGGAACGGAATGTTATACTATGACTAAAACAGGCAAAACAAATGCGTGGCAAAAAGATACTTACGGGCGTAATTCCAAGCCTCAGGGAATTTGCTCGCGTTGGCTACCACGTTCTCGGTCTTGACGAAGAAGTAGTTGAGCCAGAACTGACGATTTGCCTTATCGTCCATCTTTACTACAAAACGTTTACTTCCTCGGTGGCGAAGGTGCAGCATCATCCCCTATAGAAACTATGGGCGAAGAGATACATCAGGTGGCAAAGTGAGACCCCACAGCCAGCCAACTCCTAATATTTTGTCAACATACTGATAAGCTTGTAGATGTAAGGGGAGAGTTGGGCCGGGCAGACGCCGTAGTGGCGGCAAAATTCCTCCGCCAATGGGAGAAGAGGAAAGGAATAGCCTACATAGAACGGATACGCATAGAACGCGCAATATCCTGGGCGATGTATCTGTACCACATCGCGTCCCGCCGAAATCAGATTGATGTGGGCCAAAATTTTGAAATTTGCCCTAAACTCAGCGAGGCCGACCTCATTCATCATCGACTCCGAGGCCTCAGGATCGTCTACAGGCAACTTCAAAAAGTCAGATCTAGTCTTTTCACTGCGAGGAATTATTTACTCCACCGTAGGAAACCTCTCATCTTCAAGGGCGACAGAAACACCGTCGCCGTGAGGAGGCATACATACCGCTAAGGGGGTAGGGTCAGCCGCCATACTGGAACCAGAAGGTACGTTAACCATATTTTTGAGAAAAAGGTGTTTTAAGCACAGAAGGGCTGAAAGCAGTGAGAATCACTAAAACCACTAAGGAGTTTCAAACAATGGAGGAAAAAGAAGATGCATAGTTTGTTGGGTACAAGAAATTTTGTAAATGTTAAGACGTTACTCACACACCCCTATTTATAAAGATGTAGGCATCAAACCAAGAAATTAACCATCATTGCGTGATACTGTTGTCGCGCCCCCGTTTTTTTGCGAAATCGGGTTTCGACATGTGACAACTCTTTTAAAGGAGGTATTAAAAGAGGAGAGTCGCCACCTAACGGTTTAAGGTGCGTTAAGGCACCGATTATACAAATGACTCTGTTTGACTAGTCAACGCCATCAAAGATCGGGTAAGGGCTTA